GCCTATGATCTTTGATGCATTACTGTTTTCCTGCAGGTGTTGGTGGTCGAGTTCTATTGCTGGTGGTATTGTGTATGCTATCAGTTGCCGAATGCATCCGATGGACCGGTGTGACGATTTTTGAGATTTGGCTACACGCCGTTGGCCTCCTGCTCTTCTCCATTCTTATTGTTAGTCGCTTATTCTTCTTCCAAAACCATTGTTTTATGCACAGGAGCCAATTCCATTTGTGTTAGTTAGTGCAAATGTATGTGTAGAGTTATACCTATAAAAGGCACGCAACAAGCCTTCGACTCTGGGCTGATAATCTGTGATCTTGAATAACGATGCATATATGCTGTTGTACTTGTCGTGGAAAAGCGCCTCGAATGGGAAAAGGAAACAAAAGATGGAAAATTAATATAAATTTGTATTTTTGCGATACCGTAATCTCCTTTGTAATAATGGTGCTGCCATCAGTCAGCGGCATCAATATTATGTATGCAGCTCTTTTTGTAAGCTGGACCCAGCTGGAGCGAGGCAGAGCTCCAGACTGGCTCGATTTTTCCGGCAAATTTTCAGTGTCAACATTTGTTTTCGTACCGACCAGGATGCCGTCCACCAACATCAGGACGCCTTCCGCCAACATCAGACCTTACCTTCCATCTTTTTTTTTACTGCTATCGCGTAAATATACCTATTGTTACCTCTAGTTGACAAGAGCAGTTGAGGTTAATTATAATAACTGTCGTATAATATAACAAACAATGATCAATGGTTTTTTGTTAAAATTAGGTTAAAAAACAGTTGCGTTACTATGACGCAGTACCCCTGTCCCTGGTTCAAACTTTTACCACCCTACCCTCATTGAACTTTCGATCTTTGTCCGCTGGGGTATAAAAGCACTTCTCCCCATCGCCGGGACCGCCACCACCAATCCACCACTGCGACTTACTTTTATTTAACTAATACTCCTATTCTGGGGAGCGTTGGCTCCCCAAAGCCCTTCCACGTTTATTTGTATTCCAACTTAGACATGTACTTCCGCTTTATTAATAAATATGTATATAGGACGCGATGTCTTACTCACACACATACACCTACAAACGGGGCACACACTAGTCTAAGAATATTAACAGTTAGGGTCGCGATATAACAATAGGAAACTCCAAAAATTCAAGGTCGGAAAGAAACTTGTGTTTTCACTACAGTACTAGTGTGTGTAATAAATTAGCCTTAACGCGGTCGGTTCGTCGTTTTAAAATTGGCCCCTCAGTCACTCGTCCAACGTACAGTCTTCGTCCCCTCCACTGCTTCACTTCGGTCCAAATAATCCAACGCTGGAACAGTGTGTCACTTATGAGATTCGTGCACCGAAATTTCGCGCACGTGAAAAAAAAGAATCTCATTTATAGGGGGTTGTTTATGCATTCTTTGTTCTAATAGTAAGAGCTGGTCAAGAGAAGTGCAGGTGAGTGGAAGAAACACGTGGGAGACGAGGACTTGTTATCCTAGAGCACATGCGGGCAACCAGCGGCCCAAGGACCGGTTTTAATCCGATCCGAGGTGAAAATCGGAATGTGGTGCTTAAATAGACGAACAGGGAGTTTTTACTCTGCCACGCCTCTGCATTCTCATAAAAATAAGTAAAACTAAAATACGAGGCTAACAGATGACAGTGTGGAAAATGCTTTGAGACTCTGTGTCAGTGATATAAATCCAGATTTCAACAGTCTTGTATTAAAAATGCCCAGAGCTCTTGCTGTTGGTTTTTTTTTAATGAAAAACCTGGTAAAAACTTATCTGTTTTTGTGCGGTTTTGGATTTTATGCAAATTCCAAAACGCATGATGTCGTGAGCACGTCTGCGTGTATGTTCAGGAGCGATTGAACTTTGTCATCCACTTTCAGCATAGCAACGGAGGACGGCCGTGATGCAACACTACCGTCCCAGCTGACGCCCTTTTCTCCCGCATTCAAGAAAAGACCAAAACACAGGCACATGCGTTGCACGCATTAGATTGTAAAGCAACAACCGTTCATACTGTTAACAATCTAATTGTATCAAGTTTAGCGCAAAAACGTATGAATGCACGGGCAAGCGTGATGTGTTGCTACCTGAGTTTTATTAAAAGGCAGCCCACGAGCTTAAGTAACTATGTAAATCAAGCCGGCGTGTTGCCAGAACCTGTCCATGCCTGTCCTAGAGATATTATGATATCTAAAAAAAATATAAAATTATATCAAAAATTATTTCATTATATCAATTAAAAATTATATCAAAATTATATCAGAATTATATTATAGCAAATTATATCAAAAATTAGACGTACAGAAATGTTTCGATCCGTTAAGCCGTAGGCATTCCTATTCAGCACTAACACTGGGCTTCCTCAGTGCGACGGTTTTGATGTTGATAAAATAATTGATGAAATAAATTTGATTGCTTTAAAAACGTCACGAAATTTCTCAATTAGCGAAGGAAGAGAATATTTGTGGCAGTTTGTTGCAGGTACTGAAGATTGAGCTCTATCCGAGCAGTCTCACCTACTGGCATGCGTTCACGCCGTTGTTCATCGTTGCCGCGCTCAACCTCTACTTCCTGTTCATTGTCCTTGTACGTGCAATGGTACAGGAGAAGGAATGTAAACAGCCCATCATGAAGTAAGAATTTACTTGCAAAATTTCTTGGTAGGGCCCCGTTTTATGCGTTTTTGCATCGAAAAATTTTATTTTTTCGACTTTTTATTGCAAATGCAAAAACGCATATTGTCAAGAGGTTGCCAGTCTGCGTGTGTTTTTGGTGTGTGTATGTGTATGTGCGTGTGTGCATGTGTGTATACGTACGTGTATGTATGTGTGTATACGTGCGTGTATGTATGTATTTATGTGTATATCTATATGTACGTGTATGTGTGTGTTTATACGTAAGTGTATGTATGTGCATGTGTGTGTGTGCGCGTGTGTGTGTGAGTGCATGTATGTGCGCGCGCGAGGTTTTGCCACCCACATCCAGCTCAGCAACTGTAAAAACTAGGAAGCTGAAATTTTACAAGGATATTCCTGGCCCGCTTGCCGTGCAAATAGCTTAAAATGAACGTTTTCGCGCGGCTAAGTTTCGTTTCAGCGCAATAGTCCACCGGCATAACTGCGAAAATCGCATCAATATTTACGTAAATTTCAATTTTGTGGCAATTTCAGGCACGCTTTCAGTTGGTTACGTCTCATTATGATTGGCATTTTCGAGGCGTTGCTGT